GAAAAGATAATGATTACCAGATGGAATCAAGGCATACACATTTCTTCACACTCCCTGGCCGGCAAGTCTCCCTGAGTAAGTACAGAGAACCTGTCTCAAAAGAATAAAATGACCAGTGGAGAGGGACTTGAGAGAGCTCATGGGGCAAAAGTGGATGCCACCAAGCCCGATGACTTGGGTTCAGTCCTCTGGACACATATGGTGAAAGAAGAGGAGAGACTTCCACAGGCTGTCTTCTTACCCCGCATGCGCACTGTGCTACATGCTTATCTTAAAAATAAAGAAACAAATGCTCTGAAATTTAAAAGCAAAAGGGAAACTAGGTAGAGAGCAATAGAGAAAGACAACTCATGTGGACCTCTAGCCTCCACCTGCACACTGGCACAGGTGCACACTCACCTGCACACTGGCACAGGTGCTCACTCACCTGCACACTGACACAGGTGCACACTCATGTGCACACTGGCACAGGTGCTCACTCACCTGCACACTGGCACAGGTGAACACCCACCTGCACACTCACACAGGTGAACACTGCACACTGACACAGGTGAACACTCACCTGCACACTCACACAGGTGAACACTCACCTGCACACTCACACAGGTGAACACTCACCTGCACACTCACATAGGTGCAGACTCAGATCTGCATGCATGCACATATAAACATGCAAATTTATGCACAGATGATATGTCATTTTCAATTATTAGAGTGAGAATTTAGAATTTGGAAACACAAGTTCTGCAAATCTGAATACTTATCAACATTGTTGCTACATGTATAACTTTACATGGTAACCTCAAATATTCTTTTTGTGATCTTTGCTAAGTAAATATGTATTTATCTAGCAATATACTAGTCTAGAGAAAGTGTTGCATTATGGAACTGGAGAATGTTCAAGGATTGTACTAGCTACAACCTAAGATCCACTGACAGGGGAAATTCCAAATGCCCATAGAACAGGAAAACAGACAACTACATTAGACTATAGGATATTGACCCAAATGGAAAATTCACAGCAGTAAAAATAAATCCACGGACTTGGATGTATCTCGTGAAAATAACTTATAAAAAAGGAACTGCAGGGAAGAACGTGCACATTATGAGTCATTGATATAAAGTCCACTAAGTGTGCAAAAAGAATTCCACATATGTGGAAACAGCAGCCAGAACGCCAAGTACTTCTTTATTTAGGGAGGTGGCTCTTTCTGTCTAGGGTGAGAAGGTAGGAGGGAATGGTAGTGCTCCCTTTTTGTTTTTGTTTTTTTTAAACTGGGATACAAGATCATGGGCATTTGAAGATACATGAATATTTCTGTCACATATGTTAGAAACAGTCTGGCAAGTGGTTCTGTGTTTAATAGCAACAAAATATAAGATGAATATATTTCATTTAAATACTGATTCTGTAATTTCAATCTAGATGTGTCTGGACCAGGAATAAAACTGACCAATTCAAAAGAAGTTTAAATTAGCGAATTATACTTTTCATCAAGAAAACAAAAAGATACTTAAGATGTGTCTTTCTTGCACGCTGCTTGGCCAGCTAAGGTTTGGGGTTATTCTGAAGCTCACTGTAGACAGTTAGTAGGCACATACAAATGCCACACTGCTACCGATGAAGTTCTAAATGACATTCTTTTTATCCACAAAAAACTATGTCTTGGAATGTATTATCCTCCTAGGAGAGCAGAAAGCATGTTTACTATCTTCCCCTGTGTTTGGGGAGGCTAAGCATCCACTTTAGCACAGACCCCACCCCATGCCTGTCTACCTTTTACAGAACCGTAGGTTCTCCCTTTAGGTTCTCTTACATTTTATCTGTCTGACTTTTACTAAGGACTCAGAACTATTATTCCCTCCCTCCCAATGTCTCCCATTTATCTCTGAATTTCTTACACTCTCTGCTTCCCTGGGCTTCATCAGAGAGCTATTTTGTATGTGTGCTCTTCTTTGCCCATGTTTTCTACTCAGTTTCAGTTTTTAATGAGGTTATATTTCTAAGAACTTTGTCCCAGAGATGTATACATTAGTTATGAAGATTTAATCCCTCTTAACTTTGTTGGGACTAATTTCTCTAATAGCCTAATTTGCTAAAGCTCTCTGCCAAAATAACCCTCATGGCACTATGAGCCAGAAAGAACAGATGAGGACTGTTTTCCAACTGTCTACCTACCTTTCCCCACCTGTCCAATGAAGATCATTGTTATTTGTTCGGGTAACACTTGGATGCTTAGAGACAACCTAAAAATAAAAGATGGGTACCACAGCATCTCAAAATCCTCAGTAGAATGATGCCCTTACTTTTGTGTTAGCACTTCCTCTGGGTTTCTCTGTGTCCCTACCAAAACCCTGTTTTATCATTCTCCTACAACCAGACTAACACAAATGACCAGGAAAAGAAGTCTCAAATGCAGAGGCTCAGGTCTGGTACAATACAAAATGTCTAAAATTCATAGTATCCGTGTCCCAAACCTATGGCACAGCAGCTAGTTCATTTAACTCCTTGGTAGCAATCTGGATTTGGACAATTTTACAGTACCAGACTAAATAAATCTAATCTTCTACTAGGCCTGGACTTTTTGTTTTCGATGCTCTTGATGATGAAAATGGGGGAAATACATAGTATCTACTAAGTGAATTTGATCAAGTGTGTGTGTGTGTGTGTGTGTGTGTGTGTGTGTGTGTGTGTGTGTGTGTGTTCACGCATGTGTGTACAGAGAGGTCACACACTGAAATTCGAGGTGAGAAAATCATGTTAATGGGGGAGAAATGTACTGTAGTAGGTCAGAGGCTGAAAATAATTTTTTACTAGCTTCTCTTTGGAGCTGTATTTTAGTGCTAGTCCATAAATGTCTAGCTCACCTGGCCCGGGAGTCTTGGAAATTTACAAACCAAGTGGTAGTGCACGTGAGGTTGACAAGACCTTGCAAAACCTTATTGGCACAGATATTTAAGCTTCATATGCACCTGAACACTAATATTATCAAGGTGGAATCTTGTAACAAACTGAGAAAAGGGTCCCTGAGTAACTTTATTTTCCTAACCAACAACCTATGTATTATCCTATGTATTAGTGCATTAGCTTAAAATAATCAACCCATAATTCATGCAACTATTGATCAAATTACTTCATCACCAGTGCGTGATGAAGTAATTTGAGTGAATGACGGTGTGGGTGTTATGATCAAGTGCAACTGTGCCCTGTATCTCTACAGATCCAGAACACTGCCAAATTCCGAGACTAGCTGCCATGGCATGCGCTGAGAACCACCGCTAGGGCTGAGGCTCTATACAAATCTTATTCTTTGCTTAGGCTTCTGTGACTTGGGAATACTGTATCTGTCCAGCAGTGAGCCACTTAGACTTGTTTTAAAATGTGGCGACCTGTAAAGTCACTGGGTGGCAGCTGGAGAAGGACCTTGTTCCTTATCACAGTAGGCTCTGGTCATTTCATGCATGGCCTCTGACTTCACTTGCACTGCATGGGTTAAGTTTGCTGAATTTAATAACTTAGGAGCTAACCTTGCAGTGCAATTCTGGCCTGGGCAGGTGGCTCAGTAAGTAAAAGTACTTACTGCCAAGCCTGATTACCCTAGTTCAACCCTCACACCACACACACTGAAAGGAGAGAGTTAACTCCCACAAATTGTCCTCTGACCTTCATGTGCATTCTGTGGCATGAGCATGCCTCCACCATGAATAAATAAACAAACATAATTCTATAAAGAGAATGGGCCATTCTGGTTTGGAGGGAAACTCTAGAGGCAAGAAGCCACGTGGAGACTTCCCCTGCTGATTTCTCAGACAGGAAATCATAGGGTAGTATTGGATCAGGACAGGGACTGTCAATATCTGGAGTCACTCCTGTCTGGGGTAAAATTCCACCTCCACAATCTCCTAGTTATCAGAGGATTATAGAGGAGGGGCTGATTTGCCCTCTTCCTGCTTTTGCACTGTAGATGATGCCTTGATTTTGGAACAAGAAACAGGTGCACTTCACAGGAACAACTGGTTGACAAGGCTTAGCACAAGGACCTCAGATTTTAGAACCTCCAGGTCACTGCTTTTTTTCCCCTTCCTGTATGAACTTAAAGGGCAGGGAAGGATGGCAAGGATGAATTCTAGACATACACAAAGAATTAAATTTAGTTATGTAGTTGCTGGTGCCGTTTGAGACAGGGCAGGGATGTGTCTAAAGTTATGCTATTGTTTTGTTTTGTACCTGTTGATGCAGAATGAGTTATTCCATCAATCATCTACCTGAACACGGCTGTTACTTTGAGAATCCCTCCTTACTTGCACTCAAATTGAATCATCTAACTGCTCCAATTTTTAAGGGTGACCTATGTGCTAGATGCTAAATCCCCTTCCTGCTATTGTGTCTGGCTGCCCACTATCAAAGCGCAAAGGCCAATCAATAAGAAGGAAATATTTTCTGAGAGACATGAGGCCATTTGATTAATGTGTGTGGAGAGGAGGAGCATGAAAGGGAAAATGCATTTGAAAGATTGATTCAACCTCAATGGAAATGGGATCACTGAACCCTAGAAGAATAAGAGAGGCTGTCTCCATTTCCAACTATTCCTTACAAGTCTTTCCTTTGTCCCCTTTCCTTTCCTCCCCAGAAAAACACCAGTGTGTTGAGGTTTATCAATCTGCAGACATTTATAAGCAGAAAAACAAGAGACATTGTAATCTTTCATCTTCTTTGGGTTTTGAGAGTATGAGTCACACTATATTGCCCAGGATGGCCTCAAAGTTACTATGCCCTTGATGGAATGAATCATCTTCTTGCCTCAGCCTCCCCAGTGCTGGTGTTACGGGTATGCACCACCATACCTGGCTTGATTCTATAATTCTTTGTGTTTGATCAAATCTTCAAAGATCAGGTTAGGAAACAGAAAGGGTAAACCCTGCTTGTTTGAGATCAGCTTCCTGATGCCACAGTGGGGTTCTCACTAGGGTCAAGGGCTCTGTAGTGTGAGTCGTCTTACCCTCATCCTGCCGTTCCTTACAGCTGGCCCGTCCTCTGCCAATCTCAACACGTACAGATCCATTTTGTATTCCCTTCCTCCACGAATGCTGAATCCAAATCCTTTGGCTCCTTTCTCCATATCCACAGTGAAATAATCAAAATCCTTTGGGAATGGGGGAAAAATAGAAGATATAATTGTTTACCATTAGAGGGACTTGGATGGTCAATTTCCCTGTTCCTATCTGTCTCACAATGTGTTCAAATGACATGGCATTAGAAGATGCCATCTGACTTCAAAAGCATGGAATATGCAAGACCCACGTCAGAATAGCTAACTATGTTAAAGCAAACCGCAGAACTTGAGCTGGCTTTCTTGATCAACTTGCACTTACTTGGTGATGTCATCTCTTCTAAGTTTCCTTATTCATTATTGTTAGTACCATAAATAAGCCTGCCAACCAGAGATGTGTCTCCCTGAGTGTAGACTACAATTTTCTGAGCTGAAAAGTGAACTGGAATGGGTTCTGACTGCATCTTTCAGTTGTACAGACCACTGACCATCAATTCAGAGTATAAAAAAAAAAAAAATCAGTTTTTCTTTCCTGTAAAAAGCCGCATGTCCATGACTTCCGGACATTATCATTCTTAAACTCTGTGGGGATAAATTTGCTCCTTCATTTAATAATGGGACACAATATTAATTAGATAGAGTGGAAATTGTACTTAATTTCTGTCTTCGTATCTCGTTACTGACTGATGAATATTTACTAGACACTGAGCTCTGGTCTTGCTACGTTTCACAGAGGCTGACCATTTACTGTGAACTACCCTTGAGGAACCAGAAGCTCAGAGAGATCAGGGAAGTCTCAGGAGGAATGTCCAATGCCAACTGATAATGGAACCGCCGAACCCTTTGCTGTGTACACAGGGGCTTTGTGGCAATTGCAGTGGCTGCAGGGTGGACTGTAAAGCCATACTTGGCTTTGCCCTCTGCATAGAGGCTTGGCTCTTTACCACAGAGTGGGAGGCAGGAGGCCATTTAGACACTATGGCTCTCAAAGCTCCCAGTGGCTGGAAGGTGTATTCTGAGGGTCTAGCAGGAGCTTAAAAACAACAGCTGTTGATAAGGCTGTGTTCTTGGAGTTATCTGGTTAATTATCATCAAGGATCAGCTCATCCATGGTTACCCACTCACTCCTGATTGGCTTTATTCTGGGACAGATTTATTTATGCCCTGATGTTTTAGGGATGTAAGTGGTACCCCAATATCTATACTGAGATTATCTGCTCCAGCAGATGTCCTTTCTCCTTCTACAGCATGCCTTTCATACAGAGAAGTCTTAGTGGGGACCCCATGGTCTTCAGCGGAGGTACCTGTGGCTGCCTATAGTCGGACAGAGGGTACTGCCTGGTGTCTGGGGAGTGCTGCCTGTAGTCCAAGGGTGGGGGCTGTTGGTAGTCCCCTCCTGGGGGTTGCCTGTAGTCCAGCGGGGGCTGCCTGTAGTCTGTGAAGGGAGGCTGCCGGATGTCTGGCTTCACATCTTGTCTGGCCTTAACTTCTGACCTGTAACTAGATAAAGGGAAAGGGAGTTTGTTTTGGTATTTCCGTACTCTAAGGAGATTAGAAAGACTCTAAGAACAAATGGTCTAGCCACCGCAGCATGCGGGGACCCAATCCTTGAGTTGGTCTTCTTACATAGTTGGGATTTAAGAAGATTAAAGAAATAGTATTATTTAAAAATTGTTGACAAATGTCATGTTATATACTTTCATTTGGCTCCTTAAGAAAAAGACATCAGCACTTGGGAGGCAGAGGCCTGTGAGGTTGAGGCCAGCCTGGTCTACAGAGCTAGTTCTAGGACAGCCAGAGTTACACAGAGAAACCTTGTCTTGAAAAACAAACCAAAGACAAAACCAAAAACCAAATTAAAGCAAACAAACAAAAAGATATCAACATAAAAGTGATATTTCCCCCAGACCTTTGTGGAAAAGGCATTCTGGAATCTCCCTTTCTCACTTTGGCTATTTAAAAACTACAATTAGGGAGTTGGAGGGCTGGCTTAGTAGTTAAGAGCATGCACTTCTCTCGTGGAGGACTTCAGTTCCGTTCCCAGCACCCATGTCAGGCAGCTCCCAACCACTTATAATTCCAGCTCCAGAGAATTTGACTCTTTTGCACTCCATAGGTACTACACACACACACACACACACACACACACAAAATTAAAAATAAAATAAATCTTTAGAAGAAATCCAGCTCCACAATCACTATAAATCAAGGAAATCAAACACGTCATATCCCTCTTTCTTCCTTCTCCTCTCTTCCACCATGTCCCCCCCTTTTGTCTCTGTCTCACTCTGACATACAAAAATACTGCTTGGCACATCACCATTATATCATGTAAATGCAATTGAAGTGATCACCAAATAGTTTATACAAATTTTATTAATGGCTACTTTTTAAAGTTTCATTTATTTTTATTTTATGTGTATGAATGTCTACATGTGTGTGTATGTATGTATGCATGCATGCATGTATGTATGTATGTATGTATGTATGTATGTACAGTGCCCTTAGAAGCCAGAAGAGAGCACTAGATACCCAGAACTGAAGTTAGCAGAGGGTTAGGAGGTACCATGTGCATGCTGGGAACTGAACCCCAGTCCTCTGCAATAGCAAGTGCTTGTAAACAATGAACCATCTCTCTGGTTCCAATCCAGGGTAATTTTAATTGCTAAATTGCATCAGTTTTGAGTATTTCAGATGTTAAAGAAGCGGTAGGAAGGCATGAGCATCAAATTTGATGTAGGCTCAGAGTCACTGGCTCACTGGGAAGACTGGACTATGTTACAGAGTTTTAAACGTGAAAGCACAGCTCCTGGATTCCGCTGTGCTCATGTGATAGGAGGGAAGGTAGAATGAACCAGGGCAACAGTCATTTCTGGCTTGATTTTAGCCCTTACTCACTAAAAAACACAGAGAGTAGAAGGAGCAGCTGAGTGATTTCCCAGGTGTTTCCATCCAAGTTGATGGTGTTTCCTGGTCACAATGGGAGCAACAGCCAATCCCTGACATTGCTGCAGCACGGATGTAATTATGGATGTAGTTAGATTAAAACAATATTCTGAAGAACTAGAAAAATGCTCCCCCCTTTTTTTTTCTAGAGAAGGCCTAACTATGTAGCTCTTGGCTAGTCTTGAATTTGTGATACGCCTCCCTCAACCTCCTGGTCTGGTGGAATTAAGGAAACATTCAGCACACAAAACAGGCTCAAAGCTTGTAGAATTTTCTACTTAAGACTAGATGGCTTCTTTACCAGCTTATGGTTTTACTGATGCTGATTCATAACAAGTATCAAAAAAAAAAAAAAAAAAAAAAAAAAAAAACCAACAACAGTTACCACTCCTATAACCCAATATTTGGGGAGGACGCCGGCCGTAAATGCGGAACAATAGATGTGTTTACTTGGGCTTCTTGGAAGGGGGTTGTTAGTGGTTTTAAATCACCCCTCTGAGTAGGCTGCATTTGTCACTTAGCCCTGCAGAGAGGGGAGACATCCTTCTGTGATGTGCATAATTCAGGCTTTGCTTTATTCCTCGCTAGTCCATCCGCCTGCTGAGGCGCTAGCTGTGAACAGGATTATTTAAAATACGATTTGAATAAGATGCTTAACTATGCAAAAGCATGCATTAAACAAAAGGCATCGACCTTGGTGACATTTGCCACTGTGTGGTGGTGGTTCCCTTCTAGAAACTGCCAGCTTGGTGGCTTGGATGTCATGCTGTTTTAAGCTATAGCATAGCCACTTTATTTTTACGATCTGTGTGGCATTGGTATGAAATACCCATTTTGTGCTCCGTTTCCAGCCAGATGTGTCACGAGGAATAGTAAAAGAGGATGAAATGTAAGAATCTCCCCAAAGATTAGGCACATGACTAGAAATAGGAACAGTGGAGCTTGCTGCAGCTGTCATCTTGGCCACCAAGCACTCAGAGCTCCCTCTATTCCATTGTCATGGATCAGGAATTTCAGGTAACTTTATACTGAAGAGCTCTTTAATAAGAAACATGTACTTAATTTGTATGAGTGTTGCTAACTTTTAAGTGGAAGATACACTGGCTAGAGCAAAAATTAGGTTGGGCTGAGTATTTGAAACACTTCACTTTATGGAAAACATAGAATCAAATCATTAAAAATAAAAAAAAAGGCCAGGCTCCAGGCTGGGAAGATGGGTCAAGTTGGCTTGCTCTGACATGTAGGTGGACATGCCTTGTACAGAGGAACCTAGTATAGGAACTGACTTGGCAGCATCTCTTGCCTGATCCAGAAACAGGTAAAAGACTTTTCCCTTGATACCTTGGCCATTTTTGGAGAAGACCATGAAAATGTTTCTGGTATCTACAAAATCATTGAATCTTTTTGATCATACATAAATGGGTCACCAATAACAATAAATATGTTAGAGAACCCAAGCACAGGCCTGTAAAAGACCCTGAAATGAGAGGCCGATTCTCAAGTTGTTAATGTTACTGAAACAAATATGTTGATGATTTATAAAAATTTGAATCATGTGAAGGGATCTGCTCCCCTTTCGGCAGCCATAACAGCTGAACACGTGCTTGCCATAAACTTGCCTTGGTCACTTAGAGGTCAGATGCCTGCCTTGTGACAAGGAACCAATCGAAAGTTAGTTAGTCACTAGAAAGTCAGATGCCTGC